TAACATCCAGAACCAGGAAGATGCTGGAGGTTCTGATCCAGAGAGACTCACCTTGTCGATCTACATGCAGATGGTTGATGGTCTCTTTGTTGTTTTCTTTGTCCTTGACATCGCACAAATATGTCCCATTGTCTTTCTCTGTGACATTGCTTAATGTCACATTGACTTCTCCATCAGCAGTAGAAAGGCTCTGAAGGCTGAATCGACCCTTAAACTCTGGATGCTCTCCCGTTTTATCAGTCCCGTTATACCTATAGAGAAAAACGGTTTCTTTATTTCGGGTCAGCCTTACAACTTCGACCTCACTGTTTTTAGTAGCTCTACATGTCAGACTGACGTTCTGTCCTGGTTCTGCTGTGATGTTGATCACACCTGTAGGAGAAGAACAAAGACAGGAGAGAAAGGTTAAATAAATACAGAGAAGCAGGGATGGAGTCAGAGGAACCGTCTGTAGACCTCAGATGATAATCTGAAGGCTCTAAGACTGGGCAAAAAACACTGTACGATATTTCCAAACCTGTGTGGCCCGACCCTCTGATTCAATCGAAATGCTCACACAGCACGTCAAAAAAACCACTCGTCGGACTCAGCGGTGAGAGATGCCACTGGTCGGAGTCATCAATGTGGAAGGAAGAAACAGAATTCCTTGTTTGCACATGTGCAGAGCGGGAGCTTCTGGTAAACTGGTGTTCAGACACTCTTAACTCTACTTCAAACTTGTATATATAGGCTATGGATGTCTATTAGAACGGAACTGAAGTTTTTTTCATGTCAGTGGGGTGTCCTCTTCACCCAGCTGAAGCTCCTCCTATTTCATGATGCGACCCAGGGTTTAAACACTGTGCACTTGAAATGCAGAGAGATGAACTACCTTATTTATTTGTATAAATGAAAAGTAAATAAATAAAGATAATGTCTGCTACTGTTGTTTCAGAGATATGACACATTTTTTGGCTATCCAGAGGTCAACTATTCAATTCATAGTTTTGCCTAATGGTCAAAGTCACCTTTCAACATAATGTAAACATTGAGCATATTGGTGTTGAAGTATTACTGTCATCAAGCATGCACTTTTTTATTGTGGTTTTATATAATCCCCCTTCTTTCAATGAAATGTTGAAAATGGTTGCCCATAAGTCAGAAGTTATCATACTGGGTGATTTTAATATTGACTGGTTTAATTCTAGCAAAAGGAAAAAGCTTAAGACCCTAATGACAAAGTTTGATTTTACCCAGATAATGAAAGGTGCCACAAGGATCTCAAAGACTTCAAAGACCCAAATTGATTTAATATTCTCTAAT